GTCCTTCGGAGGATTTTTTTTTTCAGAAAAAGTCTCCCAAACATTTGATTCACTTTTCCTTCACAACAGGATATCTTCTTTTCCAGAATGTCTCTTATTGCGAGAGAAGTGGTTTTCACTTCCTTTAGTTCATAGTGCATAATCAGTAAAGGGGAGATTTCACCTCAGTGAAACAGAGGGTGAGAATCATTCATAGAATCATACAGCATGGAAGCTTGACCCTTCAGTCCAACTTATCCATGCTGGCCAGTTTTCCTAAACTAAAATAGCCCCATTTACCTTCATTTTTCTATATCTGTTTCCTATTCATGTAGTTGTCCAAATGTCTTTTAAATGTAAATATACCACTACTACCAATACCTTTGGCAGGTCATCCGATAGACACACCACCCACCACATGAAAATGTTGTTCCTCAGTTCCCTCTTAAATCAAGTTTCCCTCTCAGGAAGCTGTTCTCAGTTAAATGAACACCTGGTAAGTGGGAGGATTTCAAAAACAGTCCCATGTTCTCATCTATGCACTGAGTGCATCTGCCTTACTTGACAGTCCTCTTGCATTGAAATAAATGCAGTTTACTAATCAGTCTTACTTCATTCTCTTCTGTATTTATACTTGCCTTGTCAATTTAACTTGTTCACCTTAACTATTTTACCAGCCTCAACCTTCTCTCTTTTCTCACTACTGTTTGGGTCCTACCAGATATAGGGTCTGACTATATATCTGGAAGTTTTGTTTAAAGTGGGAATCTGGTGCAATGGGGAAAAAAGCCATGTTTAAGTATGTTTAACTGAAAAAAAGTTCAGTGTTCTGTGTAATGACTTCATGAAGGTGCAACGTGTTGTATTTGTCCACACTCTTTATTTTCAGTAATTGCATTGATTTGTGTGAAACCTCTATGAGAGAATGTTTCTAAAAGGTTGTTGATTATAAAATAAAATGCAGCATGTTAAAGGTGTGTCTTGCTATACATGGTTTTAACTGATAAACATCAGGAGTTTATTGCAATTGAGTACGGGTACATACTGAGTGCATTCAAGACAGACATAGACAGGTTTTTTGAATAGTAAGGGATGAGATGCTATGGGGAGAAGACAGGAGAATTAGAATTGAAAAAAATATCAATCATAATCGAATGGCAGAGCAGATTCAATGACCAGAATGGTCTAATTCTTCTTCTATATGTTATGGTCTTATAAGCATTCTAAAGCTGAGTGAAGGTAGCAGAGTGAAAGGTATGATATGCCAGAAATATGTGGGAGGTCATGGAACTGCAGACGTCTTAGCTTACTGCATGTACAGGAAATACAGAAACTTGAAATCCAGGTTCAGAGCTCCAGGAGCAGCTGGATACATTCTGGTGCATTGACAAGTTTGAAAGTTATATAGATAATGTGTTCAGATATCTGGTTGCACTTCCACTTAAGGGCCTGATGACACAAAGGGAAGTGGTGAACTTTAGGTAGATAAGGAGAGACCAACAGGCAATACATGAGTTCCCTGAGATCCCACTTACAAATCGATATTCCATTTTGCAAACTGAAGAGGACATTGGTTGCTCAAGGGATTGCCGTCAGAGCCATGTTTGTGGAACTAAGACAAATTTAACCATATAGCAGTGCAGGAAGAACTCATGAAGAACAATCATGAGAGGGAATATAGACATCTTTTAGTGGCCACAGACATTATTCCGGGATACTATGATGTCTTCCTGTTGCCTGGGCCAAGGATGTTACAGAATGGTGGCAGGAAATTCTTTTGGATGATTGTAATCTGCTGGAGATCATCGTCTATGTTGGTACTGATGGCTTAGAGAGGATTTGCATGAGATCCTGAAATCTGAATTCAAGGAGTTATACACAAAATTAGAAAGCACCAGCTCAAATGTAGCAATCCCCAGGTAACTCCGAGTGTCACGTGTAAGTGGACTAAGAAATACAATATGCCTGCTTGGAAGTGCAATGTAGTAGGGAGCAGCTTCCATTCCCTAGTACACTGGGATTTGCTCATGGGGAGATGGCCCATATCGCAACCGAACAGAATTGTAACTGAGGTACTTGTAGATATTTTGCTAATGCAGTTTGGAGACTTTAAAATAACTTGACAGGTAGTTGAGAAACAAAAAAGGATTAGAGAAGAATATTGGAATTCTCGTAATACTTGAAGAACAGATTAATAATTGCAAGTTAATATGTGGCATTGGAGGAAGGGAGAAGGTAATGAAGTGTTAATCAGGATCGTGCTATTGTGCATGTATGTGAACACGTGGAGTATAGTTCATAAGGGGCGTTATAAGTGCAAATTGCTACTTTGACACGTGATGTTAGGTCGAAAAGACCTGGATCAAGAAAAAGTAGAATTCGGTGTCACTTTTGCTGAGTAAAATCTGTTCAGAAAAGATAGAAAAAAACAAAGTAGCAGCGGTTGCAGTATTGGTTAAAGAGCCTGTTGTATTGTTGGAGAAAAGAAAAGTGATGCACCTCAGAGTTCAAGGAAGGAATCATTTTGTCAAGAGTTAAGGAAGAAAAGGGATGTTTCAACATTGCTTTTCCTTCAATCTCTCGACCACCAACTAGTGGAAAGGATGTGGAGGAATAAATCTGCGGGAGAATTTCTGAGAGCTGAGAGCATTATAGAGTCATTCTAATGGGGGACTTAACAAATGTAGACAAGAGACCCGAAGTGTAATAGGTTGAGAGGATCAAACATTCACATATTGTGTTTAAGAGATTTCCTGAACAGGATCTCTCTAGTTTGTTGAGAAAGGGTGAACTGTGGATTTGGCCCTTGGAAATGAAGTTGAACAAGTTAATCAAGTGTCTGGAATGGGTATTTAGAAACAGTTGTCATTTTGTTGCAAGTTCTAGAATGATGGTGGAGAATATCAACCCCATGTAAGAAAAATCAGTTGTTGGAAACTCTGCAATAAAGGTGCAAATCAAATCTGATTGATAGACTCAACTGTAAAAGTTATTGGAGGGGACGGAAGAAATTGTAATTTATCAGTTGGCTACCTTCGAACAAAAAGTGGTCTGTTTACAGTGAAGGCACATTCCTCAAAATAGAAATGTAAGGCAAACAAATCCAGAACCTCAGGATTACCAAGTGGTTAAATAAGATTAAAAAAAAAGAAAAAGTGTGCTTATGACAAATGTCAGGGAGGAAGTATATTCGGGAACTTGGCACAATACAAAAGGTTCAGAAGGCAAGTGGAAATGCACATTACAGAAGCAAACAGAATTCATGAGAAAAGACTGACAATCTACTGAAAGGGGAATCCAAAGTGCATACAGAAAAATAGTGGGAAAAGAGGCAGTGGGCCATTTGAGGGCCAAAATAAGGATTCATATTTGGAGTCAGGACACATGAATGAGTTATTAATTGAAAAATTTGATGTTGTCTATTGCAAGGAGGTAGATGCTACCCAGTCTATGGTTACAGAGGAGGAGTCTCTGTCTCTATATGAATACAACAAGGATAAGGATAAAGTCTGGTATTTAAATCTGACATGACACCAGGACTAGCTACAATGTGTCCCAGGTGATGAAATGAAGTGATACTGAAAATTGCAGTGGCAATTGTCGTCAACTTTAAGATTTCACCTGACTCAGTGGATGTTCCAAAAATGAGAGAATTGTAAGCATTGAAACTTTGTTTTAAAATTTCAATTGTGTATTTATTGATTTAATGGCAGTCATGGGTTAGCTTGTAGAAGCAATTATTTGGAATATAATTCATAGTCAAATGGGTACACATGTGAGGAATAGTCAGCATGGACTGCTAAAGTAGAAATCGTGTTTATCAAACTAGCTAGAATTTTTTTTCAAGTAGTAACACAAAGTGCCAATGATGGTAATACCTTTGATGGGGGTAAATGGATTTCCAGAAGAGGTTCAATACAGTACCACACAACAAAATTTTGAGATAAACTATGGACTGCGCACAAAACGGACAAGTATCTTGGATACAAAAACTGACCATGTGATATGAAAAAAAAGGATGCATGTCATTTTGTTTAATTTGCACCAATTCTATTGCTGCAGCTAGGTAGCCAGCAGTTTCCATTTGGTGATGCTGGAATCATGGTTCGACATAGCTCCTCTTCATCTCTGCTTTTAACTTCCACGTCAATCGCGATGACCTCGTAAATCTTTTTTCTTTTTGTGAAGTAACTTGGAAAATTGTGGTGTTCTGGAGTAAATGTATTAGATCACAAAATATATTTTTGCCATTTAAGGAGCTGAATATTTAAGGAGGCTGAATGGCCACTTTCTGCTGTTCAATAATAGCATGGCTTTTGTTTTAATCAGCAAGGTTTACTTCTCCTATCCACATACTAACCAGTTTATATATATATACATATATATATTTCATTTTTGTAGTTACTTAGAGTGAGGTGATTCATGTTTTCTTTTCCCAGAAAAGTGGTGATGACAGCAGTTGCAAAAGAAAAAGCACAAGTGGCAGCCCACAAAATGAAGGCATTCTTTGCAATTTCAGCTCATTTGAAACCCAGAATCTGATTTGGTTGTGTATATCTGAGTAGGTGCCAGGCTGAGGGAGGAAGGCCCTGCTCAAACTTTACAAGTTGCACCATCTTCATCCCAATCCCAACACCACTGACAGGGTTTCTCCAGATACAAATTTACCCATCTGAAAGTGAGAGTAAGAGAGAGGGAGAAATGCATGGATGAATGGAAAGGACACACAGTGATTTTAATCTGAGCACTTTGCATTTTTAATAAGTATTTTCTTTTCTTTCAGAACAATTGTGACTGGCTGAGATTTCAAGTAGAGAAGACAGAAATATTGTGTCTGCTCTTTCTGATCTTGCCCATCAGAGGAACTTCTGAATCTCCTTTCCGTCCTGCAAAATGTCCTCCCCCATCACAGCACAGGTGACATTTAGATTCTCAGCAAGTTCCAATAATATTCCTTTGATTGAAATCAGTGACTAAGTATTACCGAAATGGAGACTCTGTGGCCCACCTCTAAGACACACTTAATTCGTTTGTTTATCAATTGATTTCATAACTAACTTCAAAGGATATTTCACCGTACTTATGAAGCACTCCCTGAATTTGGATTGAGTCACCCCATAAATAAATGCATTCGAGCAGCAATTTAAATCCACCAGCATAACTGCAACTTCTGCAAAGATATATGAAAAATCACTGTAATTCTTGGGATTTAGACCAGCAATTATGTAATATAAGAAATATATAACATATAAAAACCACAGGAGTATGAAGCTGCCAGATATGGTGAAGAGTAATAGCATCGACTTCTTTCTGCTCTCCATCTCTGGGTCATTGTGATCGTCTCCCTTGCTTTGACCTCTCAATCCTTTACGCACTAGGCTAGTCACCAAAATGTGTCTGACTGTCAAAGTGTTGAGCAACAAAATTAAGACATATGGGAGCAATGGAGTAAAAATTTTATCAAACCAGTCAAATGCCACCCAACCTGGTGCTGTATAATAGTTTGGATTTTCCTCACAGAACCAAGGAATATTATCAATTATTTCCCCAGGTTCAAATCTGAAGTAGAATGCAACATTTTTAGAACAGATGAGAATGCAGGTCGTTGATAAAATCACAGCCACATTTTTATTGGTGCAATACTTTGTTTTCAGCTTCTGGCAACAAATGGCCACAAATCGATCAAAGGAGAAAGCGACAGTGAACCAGACAGAACATTCTGAGGCTGCATAAAGCAGCACAAAGGTAATACGACACATGGGTGTGATTTGCAGAAAAGATTCTGGGAAATAATAAGAACTACCCCGATATAATAAGACTGTAGTCAAAATTACCAGTAGATCCGCTGTTGTCATAGACACCAGGTAGCGAGTTGTACAAATTGAGAGACCGCATCTTCCCTGAGATAGGATCACAATCGTCATGAGATTAACTGTAAAATAAAACAAAACAAACTAAAAATTATTGACCAGAGATTCTGTGTATCTGGCAGGTTCGGAGGTTAAAGTTTGAAGTCACTGAACACAAGATAAATCCATCTTTTATGCATCATGATTGGTTTCAACAATTAAATGAAATTGGCACCTCTTTCACCGGTACAATATTCATGGACCTTAAACCTCCAGTGAAGTGAGAATCTGCATGCCTGGTTATAGAATCACTGAATTATACAGGAGAGAAGTGGCCTTTCAGACCATTGAGTCTGTACTGCCCACAATGCACGACTACCTTCATTAATCCCATTTTCTTTCATTTGGCCCATAGTCTTGAATATTATTACACTCCAAGAGTTTATTGATTACGTTTTTAAAGATTATGAGGTAACCACTTTAGACTACCCTGCCAGGGAGTACATTCTAGATACCTGCCAACCTCTGGGTGAAAAACAATTCCTCAGATTAACCCCACAACACTTGCCTTCAATGGCTGCTTTCCAACCAACTGTGTGTATGCCCCTCAATCTTATACCCTCCATCAGGTTTCCAGCAAACCTCTCTGCTTCAAAGAAAGAAAACTGAAATGTCCAAACTCTTTTGATAGCTCAAAAGCTCCATCCAAGGCAGCATTCTGGTGACTCTCCTCTGCAGTCACTGGACCGAAATCGCATCCTTCACATTGAATGGTTAGTAGAACTCCACACAGTACTTGAACTGTCAACATAAACCTCTACTCTTATAATCTGTGCCTCAACTGATATATGTATGTATACTCTATGTCTTCTGAACTACCCTACTGACCTGCCTTGCCACATTCCAGGGTTTGTTGTCAGGTACCTAAAGATTTCTCTGTACCTTTGAGCTTCCCAGTGTCTTCCATTCATTGAGTATGCTCTTGTCTTGTTACTTCCAAACTGCATCACTTCACATTTTTCTGGAATAAATTCCATCTGCCATTCATCTGCCCATCTAAGTCATTTATGTCCACCTATAACCTAAAACATTCCTCTTCTCCATAAACCACCTTGCTATACTTTGTGATATCCCAACATTACTTACCACCACCTGTCCATCGCACAACACACAATATTCACATTTGTGTCATTTTTGAATGCCACAAATAAGGGACCTGGCACTGCTACCAGTGTTACACCACTGCAACCCAGGCTACAGTCATGTAAAGAAGCCTTCAAGCTGCACTCTCTGTCTTTTGCCACTAAGCTAAGTTGGTGTCAAATTAATTAAGTTACCCAGCATCTGGTGAGCATTTACCTTATTTACCATTTTCCTATGGAGGACCTTGTCCAACATCTTGCTAAAGCCCACATAAATGACATTGACTTCCTAATCCTTATCTACGCACTTGGTTAGATCTTCGAAAATTTCAAACAAATTTGTTGGACATGACCTCCCTCTGATGGAGCCATGCTGATTATCTCTGATAAAACCTTGTCTCTCCAGATGGATATTCATATTCCCCTTCACTATTTTCTGCAATAGTTTCCCTAACACTGATGTGAAACTCGCTTGTCCAATGTCCTCCACAAACTCTACCACCCTTCTTGTAAAGCGGAACTGCATTAGGTGCCTCTCCCTTCCTCTGACACCAGCCCATTTAAAATTCCAGGTAAGGGCTCCTGTTATTTCTCCTCGGCTCCTACAGAAGTCTGGAAATGAGCTCATGCGGATCTGTCGATAACAATGGCATCTGAGGAAACATGGGCGTGAAATGCACTATTGTCTCAAACGACAGTGTCAAACTGAGACAAAGTAAACAGAGTTGCTTGCAGGAAGGAAGAAAAGAGCGATATCCCCAAGGGACATACAGGAATCCATTAAATGTATCTTATAAATCTGTGAAAAGTTTATTGCCTCAAATAGATATCGAAATATCAAGAAGATCAACGATGAAACATGTGGAGATAAGCAAGATTTGAAAATTAATATCAAAATGAGGAAAACCTCCCAGTTCTACCTGTAAGTCAGAAATTATGCCAACGAAGATGTCGACTTGTATTTAAAGAATGAGTGGATTAGTAAAAAAAAAGTGTAACGAGAAAAAAAAAGTCATATTCTTGAAAAAAAGCAGCATTAGCGTTGGAACTCTTAAGCTTCTACAGCGAGAATATTCAGTCCAACAGCGAAGTTGCCGGAAAAGCTCAGCCGGACCGGAAACGTTAACTGTATATTCCTTCACAGATGCTGCCAGACCTGCTGAGTTTTTCCAGCAACGTTGTTTTGGTTCCTGATTTACAGCATCCGCAGTTCTTTCGTTTTTTTTTTATAGAATATTCAGTCCATCTTTTTGCATCTGTCAAAAAGAATCACTTAATTAGTCTAATCCCATTGTCCAAGAAGTAGCCCGTAGTGTCTCAAATGCTAATAAGTAGGACTTTGTATTCTCAACGGCCGTATTTTACTGTTGTCCTTTTCGATGCCAGGTCCTCTGTCCATTTTCATTTTTCTTCCTAAATGGAACTTAAAATATCAATTCTAACCCAAATCCAGGGAACGCACAGAGGGAAAACTTAGGAAAAATAAAATAGTTGCCATGGCCAGCACAATAAGTTAGACTTTTTTTTTCCAAAAAAAGGTAAACATCCTTACAAGTTCACAGCAAGTTTGGCCTTAATGGATTTTGCATTTTCGAACATCAGTGGCTTTGACTTGATTTTACTTCACAATATTTGTTCTCTATTTTCTCCGTTTTGTTTTTCAAAAGAATGGCGGATAGTTTAAGATAATAAATGTACAAGATTGGATGGGAGGGTGAATGTGACTGACTCAGTTATTCCATTGAATGTATATTTGAACTTAATATTTCGAATGGCTTTCTTCTGCATTGTAATAACACAGTGGAGCTCTTAGGTTGGGATAGTGAGTCCTGCGCGGATCACCAGCGGAAAGGGCAGGTTACCTTCTGCTCTGTAACTCATGCACCAGAAAGAAGAATGTAATATGGGCTCTGGCATAGAAGGGGCAGCTAAGAAAATACATATGAATGTATAACCACGCCAGTTATGAGCAGTAATTGGCTATTTAATTTTCCAAATTTACTTCACCAGGCAATAAGATTATGACTAATCTGATTGTGGAATTAAGTCATATTCCCGCCCACCACCGAAAACTTTGGACTGACTTTTTAGTCAAGAATTCATCAACTTCCATCTTTAAGATATTCAATGACCCAAAAATCCGAGAAAGAGAAGTCTCAATACTTACCTCGTTGAGGGACGTAAAAAGATCGTCTATCTCAACTGGGGATCTCCTTTATTTATAAACTGTACTCCCGCCTTTTTTATCTGCCCGTAAGATGACAAAGTAATCCCTCCATCATTCACCCTGCCAGATGCTCCCAGGATCATTTGCCATTGAATACACTAATCTGTTATTCCTCTAAACTCTGCTGATTGCACAACTAGTGTGACTAAGCTTCCCTCATAAAATTACCACACTCATTCCCAGCCAAATTCCCACACTGAGCGCGCAGGTATCAGTCGAGCGGATGACAAATCAGAGTCTGATCAAATAAGACAGAGAGTGCGCACTCTGTGCACTGCAGAAATGAACGATCGATACTAATTGAATACATCTCTCAAATAAACGCCAGCATGTGCACTGTAGAAATGGGCAGATATTTCGAAACGTGCATACAGGAACAAAGGCTTTTAGAGGCGCACACTCAACATTATTTAAGTCGAAATGCAAGTTAACAATGTCATAAAAAGTTCAAACAAAGCACTAAAGTCCATTTCTGGAGATTTGGAATTGAAAATCAGCGTTGTTGTATTAAAGATACACAAAACATTGTTTGTATTACAATGTCATTGGGTGCAATTCTTGATCTGTGGGACAAAACTAATAGGGAAGAATAGCAGAGGTGCAAATCCTTTTAGAAGTAAACCTTCAGACCAAACAGGTTCTATATATGTGTGAACACGCAGCAGCATTTGGCGAGTTTCTCTGTAAAATTAGTTTGAGGAGGAGTGGTCAAATTGTGCACAGACCCGATGGGAATGTTAACGTTACGAATATGTGTAATAGGATGGACATAAAGAAGGGGATTCCGGCTGATAGAGATTACAAAGTTAGAGATTTTCAACAGAGAATGTCAGAAATATTTCCGAAAATGCCTAAAGGAGAAACGCATTCAATCAGATTATGGATAGAGCTTGCCACAATATGGAGCTGTGAAGACGAATAGCACAGAAGAGTAAACTAAGTAAGAACATGAAGTTGAAAGGAGTAGACAGTTCCGAAACGTCAGCCTTTCTGCTCCTATGATGCTGCTTGGCCTGCTGTGTTCATCCAGCCCTGCACCTTGTCTCGGATTCTCCAGCATCTGCAGTTCCTACTATCTCTGACGGTTGTACTGTATGGGTTCGGTGAGAAAGGGTACTTGAAGGTGCGTGTGGAACACAAACAACCACAAGTTGGTCTGAATGTTCTGTGATATTGGTTTAAATGCGATATCGTCCTACGTAATTTGAGAATTAGTTAATTGCGGTCATAGTTCTTTCATAACGTTGTAGATTCTGAAGTGATCCAGTGAATGATGTGATGCGCCATTTACCTTAGTATCAACGGTAAAATGATGCTATTTTTTATCATACTGGACCTAATTCCTGTTTTGTACAAAAAAAAAAATCTAAGTTCTTCATTTCGACATGTCTTTCCCGGAAAACGGGCAAATACCACGGATCTAAGAGCAGAACATGTGTCAAGACTCAGAACACGTATTAAGGCCGTTCGTGCTATTCAAGCAGTGACTGAAAATATGAAAAGATATTACTTTATTCACAAATATCTTCTGAAAGCAGCGATAATATTCCCCTTGGCCGTAGTTTACACGCCAAAAGAGAAAGGTATACCCTTGGAATGCGGGGATCAGTCAGCTCAACAACCACACAAAAATAGAGCAAGCCTTTTCTCTTTCGGAGCCAACAATCACCATATGTTCACAGAGGTATTTGTTTCTGGCAAAAGCTTCCCCCTGAACTAATGTCTGACTCAACAGCTCAGTTATACACGGAATATCACTGATTGAATAGCAGTACAATGTTTATCATTCGATCAGGATTTGAAATGACCCTGCAACAATCACGAACTATTTCACACAGCTTCAGTTGTCGTCGTCACTTACCAGGAACTCCGATGATAGCAAGAATTGTGTAGTAGATTTTGAGGATAGAGTGAAATGGTTCCATGTTTTTCTGCTCAACGTCAGTTCGGGTTGCAATAAATCGCCCTGGATTAAACTCTGGGGTGATGCCGTCACAGACTTTTTTAATTTACACACCGTTGGAACTCCGCAGGGACATTGACGGTTACAACATCGTTCAATTTAGGCTCCTGAATGAGTAAGCAGTTTACAACACCTGAGTTTAAATCCCGTTGCGGCAAACTATATTGTGTGTGAAATAGAATGGAAAGTTCCAAAAAAGAACTGAAGAATATTCATTCCATTAATTAAAATATGAAAAATGGAACCTGTATCATCAGCTCCATTGATGGATGTCATACTTTCTCAATAATGACTTCTCCCTGTTGTATATTAAGTGGTGGTGTTGGTGTGGAACTAGGGCGGACAACGTCAGAAGTCGCATGTCACCATATTATAGTCCAAGAAATTTATGTGAAATCACAAGCTTTCTAAGTATTGCTCCTTCCTCCCCTGACGAAGGAGCACTGAGAGGAAACCATAATCACAAGCTGATGTTAAACAAATTTGTTGGACTATAACCTGGTATCGTGTGACTTCTGATACTGTACATTAAACAATTACAATTCACACTTATGGTTTCCTCTCAGTGCCTCACTACTGCTGTCATGTATATGGCTTCTCACTTGAATGTGGACATTTATTTTTGTAATTCATTTGGAGCTGTGCTGCCAATGTAATGTAGCATCTAGCGGTACGGTGGCTCAGTGGTTAGTACTGCTGCCGCAAAGCGCGAAGGACCCCGGTTCAATTCCACCCTCGCATGACTGTCTGTGTGGAGTTTGCAAATTCTCCCCTTGTGTCTTTCCTCTGGGAGCTCCGGTTTCCTCTCACAGTCCAAAGATGTGCAAGTCATAATAAATTATCCATATCGAGCACGGATGTGTAGGTTAGGCGGATTAGCCATGGGATATGCAGTGTTACAGGGATAGTGTAGGGGTTGAGGCTGGGTTGGATGTTCTTCCGAGGGTCGATGTAGACTTGATAGGTCGAATGGCCTGCTTCCACATTGCAGAGATTCTGTGATTCATTTCAAAAAACTAGTCTTGCAAACTAACACAGTCCTCGAGTCCAATGTATAATTTCAAACCAATATATCACCTCATACAGGGTCCCATCAAGAAATATGGACTTTGCTGCGTAAAATGGTATTTGTTGCCCGCCGTAACTGCAATTGAGACAATAGCGAGTCGCCATCTTCAAACATTGGAGACAATCTTATTTAAGGACTGTTGTAAAGCAGGGAGCACCAGGATTACTGGAACCGTGATATAATTACACAATAACTTTGGAAGCTGGATGCATTTGAAAGCAAAAGGTGCATAGCCAGATCAAGTGAAGGAAACGGAGCTGCAACAGCTGAATGAATGATGTGCCTGAGTGCAACCTTGGAGAAGATCTAGACAATCTTTCTTCCTCCAATAAACACAAACACCGAAAATCAGCAGATTATACAGATGTCTGCTGTTATGTTACATATTGTGCCAACATTGTTATCAAATATACGAACTTGTGAAAGGCGCAAAAGAAGCATAAACAATACAACAGAATCCAGTATTACTGGTGTACATTCAATTTGAATGTTTCAATTTAATGCCATTGATAGAATTTCTATGGCATTGCTCACATATAATTCAAGAGTGGAAACTGGTTACTGTTATTAACCGATGTACAATTGAAGTCTCCTCATCGTGGAACTGATTGATTAACGGCTGTCAATCTTTAATAGATGTCCTGGTGCCCTATTCTGACAATCTGTGTTACAATTCAGTCATTAGTAGATCTTCTATGCTGTTATTCATATGGGTTTTGTGAATGATAGATTAGTTTGTCTGACAGCAAAAAATGAGAGATAGCCCCGAATGTGGATGAGAAAATGTACCTATAGCTGCTTACTACTTGGACCACCAGAAAGCATTTTGTACAGTTCTGTAAAATCTACTTTAATAAAATGTTAGATTATGTGCAATTAGAATAACCTCTGTTATTTTGTTAAGAGACACAAGTGTTGCAACAAAAATACACACCTCAGTATAGAAGGATGTGACAAGTAGTATTTCCAGTTTAAATTAGGTTCTCAGTTTATCTCTACAATTGTGTTTTCAATCTCAACTAAAAGAATTGGGATCTGTACAGTGAAGTTTACTGACAGCACTGTCAAAGTTGCAATAGTAAATATTCTTCAGGAAAATGGAAAATTTCTAAGTAGAAAAACATAAAACTACAGCTGATAAATTGCAAAATGTGAAAGGATGAAGACAAGCTGGGTCAGAGTCTTGAAAAGAAGAACGTGAAAGTTAGAAAATGGTGGCAAAGTTTATAAACTTACTTTGAAAATATTGGTGAGCTGTTGTAATAAAAATAGAATATCTGAACAGTACCTCTCTCCAGAACATGCTACAACGTGCCAAAGAAGGTTAACACAAGCTGAAGGGACCAACAGCTCATTTTCCATTGAAGCAGTTTACTCTGGGACTTAATAATAAATTCAAAAACTTAGCAGCATTACTCCTGTCTTCTATTTACAATATACAACCTCCTCAGAGCATCCCTTAACCTCTCCACATCTGAGCCTTACTTGTCTCTTGTTGGCATTGTTTTCAATACAGAAAACACTTTTCTCCTTTCTACACCTAACATTGAATGCATTTTGAAGCTGATCTATTCTTTCCCACCATTAGAACTCTTTTTCAACTGAGTCTCAGCCTCTGCACCACTTAATCCTCCTTCCCTTCCGACGTAAAATAACACAATCTTTCATCAATTTTGGTCCTGAAGAAGAATCATGTTGGACGCCAAAACATTTCTTTCTCTTTGGATGCTCAAGGGAATTTTGAATTTCTCCAGCAGTTTTTGACTTGTGTCAACACGTGAGGTTTTCACTCCAGTATGCGTAGCCTTTGAGCTGCTTCTGTAGCCATTCTACTTTTATGTCAATTTCAGCTCCATTGTGGACAATGATAACCCCCAGGATGTTGATACTGAAGGATTCATCAACGGTAAAGCAACTTGATGTCAACGGTTGGTTGTTAGATTCTTTTATGTGTGAAGGATTGTCTTCTGGATAAGCGATCAAATCTAGTATGTGTCAGAGAAGAGGTGACTGTGTACACCTGACGGGTTAATAGAATTTATATATTATGGAATTTATGACAGTTGAGGTGAACAGGAATAGCGAATAACCTTTGTTTTATTTCAGAACAATCAAGGATTGATTGTGATTTAGAAAACCCAGGCATCTGAATTTGTTTTCGAACAGTTTGGTATAGATCTGATTGGCATTAGAATCAAGACACAATTTCATTCATTGCAGTGGGGTGAGAATACAGTTCAGGGAAAACACAATAATCCGTTAGACTGTGAATTTCATTCAACTAAAGAAAGTTTTAATTGGAAATGAATATTGCTAATGAAGTAATGCATGAGCATTTTTTGTGTAAGATGAGATAAAGGTTGTTGCAAGTCCGATGATTGCCTTCATGAAATTAACGAAATTACGAAATTAACGAAAGAACGCTGATCACGAAAGAATCTTTACTGACAGCAAAAGACAAAACAAAGAATAATTGAAAGGAGTCCCTTGCTAAATGTCGGTAACAAATTTCCTGTGACACAATTTGATTCCATGGAAACGGATAGTATTTCTCGAAACTGAACAAACATTTCCAGTTGAATCCGTTCATTCGAATCCTGGCATCATCATAGGTTATATTTCGCCACGTATGAAATGTACACTGCTCATAGCCGTTAAAATTTACTCGGCCTCTGTATTAAAAGCTTCCCATAACCCACTGGAATCCACTATTGCCTTCTATCTCGTGAGACGATGGTCTGCACTTTCAGTTTCAACTCTGTGCTCAGCATTGCCCAGTGTGATTTCAGAATCCCATTCTGTTCTCTGCCCCATTTGCTGCAGACATAGCAAATGCAGAATTTGTAGGGTTCCATTTTTGAGTGCCCCGTCTCCGTCGCCAGCAGTCTGTTTCTACATACTGGCCTACACTGAAAGGGTAGGTTCACAGCAAGTTTCAGCCTGAGCTAAAGTTCTTTCAGGCTACTGAGCTGGTTTGCCTCGCCAGCCTGGCAGACAGTGGTTTGCATTTGATTTGATTTGACTGAGCATGCAACATAGTGTGAGCAGAGACTGAGATCTTCAGAATCAGTGTCGAATAGTCTGTAAAGGGAAATCGAGCCCTACGAATATAGCGATTAAGAATTACAAAGCACAGTTATGGAAGCACAAGTAATTGCTCATGAAACAAATTTAATTGAATCCTCATAGTGTGGAAACAGGCCATTCGCCCCAACATGTCCACACCAACCCTCTAACAAGCATCCCACACAGACCCATTTCCCTACCCTATCCCTGCAACCCTGTATTTCCCACGGCTAATGCACCTAACCTACCCATCCCTAAACACAATGGGCAATTTAGCATAGCCAATCCAACGAACTTGCACATCTTTGGACTGTGGGAGGAAACCAGAGCACACGGCGGAAACCCACGCGGACACGGGGAGAATGCCCAAACACCACACAGACAGTTGCCCTCGGTTGGGATCGAGCCCGGGTCATTGGCGCTGTGAGGCACCGTGCCGCCCTGAAAGTATGTAGATCAGGAGAGTTAGAAAGGTAGTAACTAACGCGATACGGTTGGATTAATTCAAAGATCTGGCTAAGGGGGTTAGAAATCGGGGAGACTTCATTTCGATCAAGGAAAGAACAGGAAGGAAAAAATCAATGGTTCCAAATGTTATGAAGTAAACAGCACAATTGTGATTCAAAATGGGAATTATTTACATAATTTATAATTTATTATTTATAATAGCGTTCATAGAGTGGAGCCGATGAGAAAGGTGGAATTTTCAATTTGTCATAAAAAATAGCATCGATCATTATTACTGTGGGATACCCTTCCTGGACGTGGGAACACATCCGAAGAGTTGTTCTTTCTGTGTAAAACAAAAAAAGAATGTTTTAAACTGA